TCACACACAGAGCCTCAGGGCGATCAGGGGGTTTGTGTGCTGCCCCCTGTCACACTGATCCTGGTTCCAGAAGGCCTCGCAGTTCTGCTGATCCTGGTGCTGGGAGGCATATTACCCTTTTACTATATAGGATAGAGGCCTGGTGCATGAGTTGGGCTGGCTGGTTTGCTCTGAAGGGTGTCCTGGATCAGGGTGGGGGTCCCCACTGGGGTGCCTGGCCAGCCTGGATGAGGGGATGATGGCTGTTTGCAGCTGGTCACACACCCTTCAGGGTGGGGGTCCCCACTGGGGTGCCTGGCCAGTCTGGGTGAGGGGCTGAGGGCTGAAGCTCCCAACTGCTCCTTTTTTTCTTTCTTTCTTTTTTTTTTTATTCTGGGCCAGCTTTCGCTCTGAGGCTTGGCTCCAGCTCTGAGGCCTCTGCTGCTGAAAGCAGGTATCTGGTTTGTTTGTGTTCTATAATCTAAACAATGTATAACTCCAGCTCTGAGATCCCAGATCACTGAAAGCAGGTTTCTGGGGTTTTGTTTAGCTTCTATATTTGTTACAATGTTTCAAACTGCAGGCTCAGAGGCCCACAAGGCAGGGGGGAAAAATTGGTTTTCTACATCACTGAAGCAAGCAAGCCTCATATTAGTTTCAAGCTGCCTGGCTGCCGGCCGCCATCTTGGCTGGCAGTTAATTTGCATATCACCCTGATTAGCCAATGGGAAGCGTAGCGGTTGTACGATAATTACCATGTTTCTCTTTTTTTTTAATATATATTTTATTGATTTTTTACAGAGAGGAAGGGAGAGAGAGACAGAGAGTTAGAAACATCGATGAGAGAGAAACATCGATCAGCTGCCTCCTGCACATCTCCCACTGGGGACGTGCCCGCAACCCAGGTACATGCCCTTGACTGGAATCGAACCTGGGACCCTTCAGTCCGCAGACCGACGCTCTACCCACTGAGCCAAACCGGTTTCGGCACCATGTTTCTCTTTTATTAGATAGGATATGGTTGTTCATTGTAGTTTATTACAATCCTTTGTTTTTCTCTGGTGTTAGTCGCTACTTCTCTTTTATTTTATTTATTTGTGTCATCTCTCTTTATTTCTTGATAAGTCCATTTAAAAGTTCATCAATCTAGTCTATATTTTCAAATAAGCAGCTCTTAGTTTCATAGATTTCTTTAGACTGTATTTTGTTTATTTCTGCTATTGTCTTTATTATTTCCTTTCTAGTACTCACTCCAGGTTTTTTATCCCAGTTCCTTTAAGTGTAGTTAGAGTGCTTATCTTTTTTCCTGTTTCCTGAGGAAGGCTGTGATGGTTCAGATTCCCTTCTTATAACTGCTTTTCCTGTGTCCCATAGAATGGGGTTGCTGTGCTCTCATTTTCTTTTGTCTTAAGGTCATTTTGATTTCTTCCTTGATCTCCTTGTTAACCCATTCATTGTTCAGTAACATGTTCCTTCACCTCAATGATGTTATGTGTTTCTCTGTTTTTATTTTCCTTGTGGTGATTTCTAATTTCATTATATTATAGACAGAGAAGATGCTTGATATGGTTTCAATCTTCTTAAACTGATTTAGATTTTTGTGCACTAACATATTGTGTATCCTATAAAATGTTTCATATGCACTTGGAAAGAATGAACATTCTGCTGTTTTGGGGTGGAATGCTCTGAATGTATCAATTAATTCCATCTTCTCTAGTATGTCATTAACAATATGTGTTTTCTTGTGGATTTTCTATCTGAAAGATCTATCCAATGATATCAAGGGAATGTTAAAATCCTCTACAATAAACGCATTACTGTCAATCTCTCCAATTACATCCTTCAAGATTTGCTTTTTAAAAGTGCATTTTTATTGATTTTGGAGAGGAAGGGAAAGAGAGATAGAAACTTCAATGATGAGAGTGAGTCATTACTCGGCTGCTTCCTCTATACCCTCCACTGGGGATCCAGCCTGCAACCCAGGCATATGCACTGACTGTGACCTCCTGGTTCATAGGTTGGCGCTCAACCACTGAGCCACATTGTTCAGGTTCAAGATTTGCTTTATATATTTAGGTGTGCCTATGTTGTGCTTATAAATGTTTAGCAGAGGTAGATGCTCATGTTGTATTGATACTTTGATTATTATGTAGTGTCTTTGTTTGTCTCTTACTATACTAGTAGTCTTTATTTCAAAGTCTATTTTGTCAGATATAATATTGCCACCCCCATTTTTTTTTCATTTCCATTTGCATGAAATTTCTTTTTTCATCACTTTACTTTTATCTCTATGTTCTTTCACTCTGGGTTGTGGCCCTTATAAACAGCATATATGTGAGACTTGCTTTTGTGTCTAATCAGCTACCTTAAGTCTTTTGATTGTAGCATTTAAGCCATTTACAATTAAAGTGATGATTTATTGGTACACATTTATTGCCGTTTTATATTTTTATCTCTGCATTTTTTCTTCTTTTACTCTTCCTCCTCCTCCTTCACTTTCTTCCAGCAGACCGACCGGTTATCATTTCTTATAATACTGGTTTGATGGTAACAAACTGCTTTAGCTTTTTCTTGTCTGGGTAACTCTTTATTTCTTCTTCAATTCTAAAGATCTTGCTAGGTAAAGTACTCTTGGTTGTTTGTCCTTGCTTTTCATAACTTTGAATATTTCCTTGTCTTCCCTTCAGGCCTGAAATATTTCTGTTGAGAAATCAGCTGACAGTCTTATGGGGGCTGTCTTGTAGGTAAGTAGCTGCTTTTAAGATTCTATTTTTTCTGTTTTTAAGATGTGCTCTTTGTCTTTAACCTTTGTCATTTAAATTATGCTGTGTCTTGTTGTGGGCTTCTTTGGATTCATCTTATTTGGGACTCTGTGCTTCCTGGACTTGTGTGTCTTTCCTTCACCAGTTCAGGGAAATTTTCATTCATTATTTTATAAAATACGTTCTTAACCAATTACTCTGTGTCTCCTCCATCTGATACCACTATGATGCATATGTTTTTCATAACATGTTGTGCCAAAGCTCCCTAAAACTATCCTCATTCTTTTCAATTTTTTTCTCTGTGCATTTCTGATGGCTGCTGGTTATAGAGGAGGGCTCAGTACAGGGGTCCTGCTGGCTCTTCCCCCCTGTTGCATCCAACCTACTATTTATTCCTTCCAGTGTATTCTTTTTATTTTTTATTGTTTAAGGTATTACAAATAGTAGTACATATGTCTCCCCCTCCATCCCCCCATGCTTGATGTTAGATATGGCATTATTCACTTCTCACTGGTTCTTATTAATAGTTTCTATGTAATTTTTCATGCTATTATAGAACCCACTAAGTTCATTGAGCATCCTTATAACCATTATTTCTAACTCTATATCTGATAAATTGCTTGTCTCTATTAATTTTTTTTTGCATCAATCAACCTTTAATGTCCAAAAGAGGCATGGAAGCAGAGCATAGGAGATGTGGCAGGGTCTCAGCCCCAACTCCAGAAATGAGGGAGATGAACACAAACCGGACATTTTCAACTGGCCACACAAGTCTGGGAGGACAGGGGGAAACACAGATTTGAACATTCATAAAAGGGTTTGGTACAGGGAACTCACTCATCATCCCAATTTCCACCCTCCCCTGTCAGCATCAGAAAGCTCAGCAAACACTTAAGACTTGGAGAGGGGATATTCTCCTGCCTTCCCACCAGCCCCAAGGATGGAGTTGGAAAAAAAAAAAAGTGAGCTAGACCCAAACCCCACCAGTGTCAACTGTACATGAGAGTTTTAAATGCAATTTACAAGAATCAGCAGCTCAGTCAGCAATGACTCCCCCACCCATATCCAACCCCACCTCTATTTGATCAACAGACAAGGTTTCACAGCACTCTCCTTGGAAACTCCTCCCACTAGCGGCCCTGCTCCATCTCCTGATACCTCGCTTCATTACTGCAAACTTCTTCCCAAGCCCCTCACAGCCCTTATCACTTCCATCCCTACCACCCACAAGAGGTGGCAACCAACCACAAAGTCACTTTCCCTCTCCACTGAGAGCCAACTTCAGGACAGATGACAGCATCGTCAACTCATTGTGGGCTATCCTCCTGAAACCTTCCTGGGAGCACACAGCCACAGCGCAGTGTCTGGGCAAGGTGGCTAAGAGTGGAGTGGGGTGGCGTGGGGTGGGTGGGGGGTTTACATCTGTCTTCACCTCACAAAAATTTTTAACATAAAGGCCCACTTAGAACTAACTGTGTACCCTAACTACCCATATACCCTAGAGATTCCATACCATCCTGCCCTTCCCTCCCCTCTACCCCAAACCAAGACACACACACACACACACACGCACATGCACACACTGACAAACACACACATATACACAGAGGAGACATTGATTTGGTTTGACTGCTAAGACCTAACTAAGGAACTACAGTCACCAGAAATTCCCTTGCCAGCCAACTAACAGGGGCTGCTCTAAGAGAACTCTAGAGGAATGAGAAAACTGAGGGCTGAGCAGGGAGCAGAAAGAAGTAGAGAAGAATAAAAAGAAAAAAAAATCAAGCTAATCCTACTTCCAACATCCTTCTAGCATGGGCTCTGACAGGAAGATAATCCACAAAGACACAGCCCTTCCTTAGAAACTTTTCTGACAAAGACAGCAAGACAAGTTTGCTCCCCACTCCCACACACCACAGACAAACACGTCTCAGGGCCCCTTAAAGAACCCATCACCCCTAACCCCACACTCTGCCCCAAGCCGTGGAATCACAGTTCAGTAGTCTCCCTGGTACTAGATCAATCCCCCTCCCCTCCTTCCTATTCCTCTCTCCTCGCTGATTCTAACACTGTCCCCCTACAGCCTCCACCACCAGGAAGAGGCAGCTGCAGTTTTAATTCCACCTCCAGAAACGGACTTCCTTTCCCCAGCCCTCCTAGTTTTACAGGCTTTACTGAGGGCTTAGTTTATAAAGAGAGATAAAGAGAAAAGGAAGGGGTGGGAGAGATTTCTTAGTGCAATCCAACAACAACAAAAAATTTTAAGTTTTGAAAATAAATGTAAAGCAGCCTTCTTCCCCAGGCAACTAAACAGAAAGAAGTTTGGTTTTGTTTACTGCGACATACACATGAAATCGAGTATACAGTCCATGCAGTAGCACAGCCATTGGAGAGGACATCCTGATGCTGGCCCCAGTGCAAAATAGTCCCAGCAACGCCATCTGCTTGCCATCGCCACCACCACTGACACCTTCTCTGCAGCCACCTAGCCTAACTTGAAGAGGAGGATTGCAACTTGACCCAAGTAAAAATAGATGAAGTGCTTTGTCTCGTGTGTAACGTAGCTGCCAAAATTTTGGCCCACAATACAATGCCAGGTAGGGTTGTATTTCTTGTCAAATTCCTTCTTGATATAGGCAGCAATGTCCTTCTCTATGTTGTACTTCTCCATAGCCTGCGTGGCGCAGTCAACGGCATCTTGTTGCATGTCCTCAGACATGTCTGCATTCTTGATCACGGCCTTCCAGTCAGACATCGTGACACTTCACGCAGGCGACTCCGCGCGAGGCCCCGAGGGAGCAGCGATGGCCTGAGCCCTTGGAGCCTCCCCGGCCACCCTCACTCCTCGCGCCCGCCGGCCGCCTGCTTCGCGCTGGCGCCTTGCAACTCAGCAGCTCCGCTCTGCTCCGCCGCTGAGAGTCTCTATTTAATTTAGTTTATTTTCTGGAGATTTCTCTTGTTTGTTCTGGAGCCTGTTTTCTTGTCTTCCCAACAAGGCTGTCTCTTTGTATTTCTTTCTAAGTACCAGACAGAATTGCTATGACACCCAGTCTTTGTGGGGAGGCCTTACGTAGCAGGTATCCTTGTGCACTCCCTTGATGTCTGGAGCTGAATGCTCTGGAATGTCCCTATGTGTGTTATGTGGGCTCTCTTGTTGTAATTGGGTCTTGATTTCTGTTGGCCCATTCATGGCTGGCATTGACCTTCAGACTTGCTGACTCTGAGGCTCAAACCAGACCACATCATGGAATCTGATGTAAGGTGTTGACAAAAACAAAACAGAAAAAACCACCACCAGCAAAAACAACAAGAAAAAAGAAAGAATAAAAAAAGAAAAAAAGTATAAGGAGAGAAAAATAAAAGTAAAAAATATGAAAAGAAAGAAGAAAAATAAGGAATTAAAATGGGGGGAAAGTCAAATAAGAAAGAAAAAAAGTGAAAAATAAAAAATATAAAATAGCCCTGGCCGGTTTGGCTCAGTGGATAGAGCGTTGGCCTGCGGACTCAAGGGTCCCAGGTTCGATTCCAGTCAAGGGCATGTACCTTGGTTGCAGGCACATCCCCAGTAGGGGATGTGCAGGAGGCAGCTGATCCATGTTTCTCTCTCATCGATGTTTCTAACTCTCTATCCCTCTCTTTCCTCTCTGTAAAAAAATCAATAAAATATATTTAAAAAAAATATATAAAATAAAAGGAAAAATAGAAAAGAAAATATAATAAAAGTAACACACAAGAAAAATGGAGGTTCTCCTCAGCAGAGTATGTAGTGCCTGCTGCGATCTCCCTTTGGATATGCTGTGTGTGAGGCTTGTTGGATGCTGCTCCAATGTTGTCTGAGTATGGCCAGTGGGTTGGCTGGCTTAGGGCTTCTTGGGAGGTTCTCTGGGAGGTGCAGGTTGATATTTGGTACTGTCTATGCCTAGCCACTGACAACCAGTTTGAAGTTACAAGTAACCCAGTTTGTGATGCCTCTGATGGGCTTGGCTGTGCACAGGCAGGACCAAGCTGAGCTCCAAGGCTGGTGTTTGCCACCATGGGACGAAGAGTCGGGTCAGCAAATGTCCCAAGGCATCCCTGGACCCTCCTCCATCTACCAGCTGGCTGTTAACCTCAGTGACTGAAAATGCTCAGTCTCTGAAAGAACCTCAAGTGGAATTAGGAGGATGGGCTCTTGATCTCCCTAAGGGGGAGTAGCCCACCAGACTTCCTGAAAGATGGTGGGTGTGTTCCCCTGCTCCTGAGCCACCTTTCTGAGTAGTTCCCTGATTTATTTCTGAACTTGGTACCTTGGAACCCCTACTGGTCAGGTGGGTGGGGCCTGTGGAGACCAGAGATGGGGTCTCCCAGAAGTCAGGAAGCTGTTTCTATCAGATCTCCTGTGAGGAGCCTGCACTCTTGAGTTTCAAGGGAAAGTGGGTCAATGGCCTCACCAAAGCCAGGCTCTGACACCTCCTCAGATGCCCAGATGCCTACGCCCAGGCCTATCCCCCCTGACTCCTCAGCAGGGCCTAAGATTCAGGGTGAGCTGACAGGGTTCCAGAGGTTGGGGATTGCTTTCCCCAGGCTGATGCCATTGTGTGGAGTTTGCTCCTCCCAATGAAGATGGCTGCTGGTTATGGAGGAGGGCCCAATACAGGGGTCCTGCTGGATCTTCCCCCACCTCCCTCCCCGAAGCCACCCATCCTGACTCACCTAAGGTAGCTGCATTCTGACTGCCCTCCTTCCCTTGGAGCACAGCATGAGCGGTTGCTAACACACATATTACTTGTTGGCCCTTTAAAGGGGTGGCTTTGTCTCCAGTGAATCTGCCTCTCCTTGGCACACAGAAACCTCCCCGCATTTCACAGCTGGGTGCTATGTGGGTGCCTATTCACTTCTCTTGCACTCCAGGCAGGGCCTGGTCTGGGTCTGGGCTTCACACCTCTCAGGAGGAACCTCTGCAGCTGAGCTTTCCCTCCATCATCTTGGCCTGCCGACCAGGGGAGAGGGGCCAATCCCTTTCCAGTGTCCCCCTTCCTTCCAGTCTCCAGATGCCTTCTCCCAGCTCCTTGGTTAAATGTCTCCTCTTCAAATAGTCTTGAGTTGGTAATTCAGGGTGAATGATCCCCAATGTAGTTGTAATTTCCAGTTGATTCTGGAAGGAGGTGAGCATAAGTCCCCCTACATCCAAGCTACCTTGAACCCTCACCCTCTGCATTTCCTTTCCTACAAACATGAAACTTCACCTGTGCTGCATGTGAGAGTGTTCCTACTAATATAATAAAACTGCTGAGACACAGAGCCATCAGTGGTAGTCACAGAGGCTTAGGTCTAGAGAGACTCTTGGATAAACTGTTATATGAGTTCGAAACCCAGAGCCCTCAGAGGAAACAGCCATAAACAACACCTCCAACTGCTCCTGGGTTGCAACACAAAGTCTGTGTGTCCTGTGCGCCCCCTGTTGGTCACAGCCTCTGCTGCAGGGAGGTTTGTGTCTGGGCTCAAACTGACTTCCCCTCACTGTGCCTCTTGTGCACAGTAATACATGGCCGTGTCCTTGGCTCTCAGGCTGCTCATTTGCAGGTTGGCAGTGCTTTTGGAATCATCTCTGGAGATAATGAATCTGCTTTTCACAGATGCAGTGTATTCTGTGGTGTGACCGTTGGCTTTGTTTCTTATGAAACCTACCCATTCCAATCCCTTTCCTGGGGTCTGCTGGATCCAGCTTATATAATAGTCACTGAACGTGAATCCTGAGCCTTTGCAGGAGAGACTCAGGGAGCCCCCAGGCTTCACCAATCCTCCCCCAGACTCCACCAGCTGCACCTCACACTGGACACCTGCAGACAAGAGAGTTGTCATTAGGAGCAGGCACACACACATATACACACTCACACACAAGACCCAGCTTCTCCATAATGTTACCATGTAAGAGCATCAAAGCGAGAGCCCAGCTCAGCCCACACTTCATGGTGCTTCCTCTGGGTTGACTCCTGGAGTGAATGGAAACTGCAGGTCCTGGGGGTGGGGCTGCTCTCCCAGAGGTGCAGGGACAGGGCCTGGGCCAGGCTTATCAGCATAAGGAACTTCCCATTTGCATTGGCTCCTCCTCTTAGGGACAGAGGAGTGGAGTCCCTGGGGGACAGTCCTCCTGTCCTCAGAGGGACAAACACCTCCTGTGAGTGTGGGGTGTTCATGAGGGGTGGCTCGTCTGTGTGCTACAGTGTGGCTGTTGCTGTTGTTAATACCATCGTCATCAGTTACAAGTAAGGAAGGTGGGACACTCGTGATTCTTGGAAATTTTGTGACCATGTCTACAGATTCATGCTTTACATTTAAATCTTTTATCCATCTGGAGTTTATTCTTGTGTATGATGTAAGTTGGTGTCCTCTCTTGCATGTGTCTGCCCAGGGGTGGGCAAACTTTTTGACTCGAGGGCCACAGTGGGTTCTTAAACTGGACCGGAGGGCCGGAACAAAAGCATGGATGGAGTGTTTGTGTGAACTAATATAAATTCAAAGTAAACATCATTACATAAAAGGGTACGGTCTTTTTTTTCAATAGTTTTATTCATTTCAAACGGGCCGGATCCAGCCCGCGGGCCATAGTTTGCCCACAGCTGCTCTAGACTCTGTTGCAGATCCAGTTTCATACATTGGGATATTGAAGAATCTTCATCATGACCCACTCTGTTTAGGGGAGGATGTGGGTAATGATTTAGGAATAACTAAGTTTAGGTCAGGAAAATGTTGTTAATGGGAACCTCGATGTCAGCATGTGATCCTTGGGACCGCTGCCACCATGTCCTGGCTCAGCTTCAGGTATCCTGTCTGTGACCTGTCCTGGGGAGTCAACAGGTGGATGGACCCGTGAGAGGGGTTCTGGTGGATAAAGGGGGGCAGATACGTTTTTACAGAGTCTGCTCTGCTTTTTACACTGTGGGAAGAGCTGGGGGGAGTCAGCAAGGATCTATTCATGGAGCTCAGGGTCTGAGACACAGCTGAAAAGAGGAGTGTGTCCCTGGGCCACTGAACAGCCAGGAGAGAAGGGAAACCCTGAAAAGAAGAGGAAGATGGTCCTCAGCCCCTCATGGCTCCTTTTCCCAGCTGCTTGCCCTAATTCTGGGCCTGAGTATCCCCTGCTGGTCCTTACCAAGGAAAACCCAGCTGATCCAAACCCCAGTATTAATGGTCTGTGTTTCCCTCCTAATCAGAGAATGGGAACACCTGGTTATCCTGGGGCTGGGTTGTAATTCATGAGTATAGGGGGCCTATTGGCATGGGTTCCTACTACATAGGGAGCTCTGGGGTTGGGCACTGACATACAGGATGTCATTGCAGAGTGTGGTGTGTTCAAGGGCACTCATGGCTGATGCGCATTAGCCCTGGTACCTGGGTCACTGGTCCTCCCAATTGGACCCAACTGCTTCCCTGAATCAACTCCTGGACAAGGGGGCATTCCCAGTGAGGGCTCAGTACTGCCTGGCTGGATAAGATGGTGTAGTAATCCAGCATGAAAATTATTGTAATAGAAAAATAGGAGAAAGGGCAAAGATTTAAATATGATTCCTTGGAAGTTTACCTGTATTAACACAGTGAGGTGATCAACCATCACAACTAGAGGGAGATTAAAGTGCTAGCAGCCGTTTGCAAACTACAGCCCGCGGGCCAGATCCGGCCTGTTTGAAATGAATAAAACTAAAAACAAAAAAGACCCTACCCTTTTGTGTAATGATGTTTACTTTGAATTTGTATTAGTTCACACAAACACTCCATCCATGCTTTTGTCTGGCCCTCCGGTCCAGTTTAAGAACC